TAAATGCATTCATTAATCGCTGGTTTTTAATTTCTCTATTTTTGCTGATAAGTAAAATCTGTGAATACTTATTCCTGCCAAGTTTGTGAACTTAATCCCCCACTGCTATTGCCCATAGCATACCAGTAAAAATAGTGAAATTAAACACCAGTAAAAAGGTTTTACGGTATTACATAAATTCAGGTTCACTGTGAATACTGCCCTCTCCCATTAAATACTATACAGATTAAAAGCAGCTGTTCACAACTTTTTCGGTTGCTACTAAAATATGAACAATTGAAGACAAATTTTGCTTTAAAGCCTTACCTTCAATATGTGGTAATTTATCAGCAGGTACATCAGGAAGTTGTACATCATCAGTTTGTTGTGTAATGGCTTCTAACTCAGCTAGTATTGCATCTTCATCTTCATCTGTTAGACTACCAGCAAGTAATTCGTCAATTTCCTAAACACATATAAATCAACATCTCAGGACACTGTGTGACTTTCTTTTACACATTTTAACATATTGATGAAAACTTTATAATCTTGATTATGTTCAGTAGTCAGTTTGGTTACTGGAGTCAATGAGAAAAGTGCTGTAAATTTTGGTTCAAAATTAATAAAGAAATCTTAGCTTTCATATTAATATTTGAAATTACTGCACGCCTGAAACGTGTAACTTTTCACTCAAGATGGTAACATAATTTTGAAAATGCAATGTTACTAAATAATATTATTGGATTAAGTTTGAATGCCATTCTTCTTTGATCGCTGATACAAAAACTCAAAAACGCAAATATTTGAAATGGGAAGTTTTAAATAAATTATCCATTTTGTTTGCCAGTAGAATGGAGTGTTTGTTACGCTTACTTGGAATGGGAACACATTTTAAAAATATTCTTCAATTAATTAATGAAGGGCTGTGAACTTTTTATAGTTACCAGCCCTGCTGTCTGGAACACAATTTAGAGAACAACATAGATAAAAACATACTCTCTGATATTCAATGCCTTCTTGTGTTTCTTCCATTATTCTTTCTACATCCTCAATAGACATCATCTACAGTAACAAAACAAGATTCAATTATTGCTATGGATACTATAAATTAGTAATATCTTATGTCAATCTGACAGTGACATCAAAACAATTCACTTATGTCAAAGGTCAAATTACATGTAGAAAGGTAATAATATGGTTTACCTGGTGCATTTTCTTGAGGCAATCATTTCCCACTTTGAGTCCTTCTACTACCTGCATTTCTACTTGACTGAATTCAATATCCTGAACTAGCCTATCTAAGTTATCAAGCTGGTTGTCTGTCTTATCAAGTAATTGCTCTTGGTATCTTTTTTTCTTCAATAAAAGTTTTGCTTTTCTAGAATATGAAAATATCAAGTAAAACAAATGAATAATCATACTGAGCATATGTACAATGCATTGTGGGAAATATATTCATATTTTTTTTCTAAAGAGCATGTTACTGAACATATATGCAATGCATTATGCAGACAAATTTATATTTTGAACTACTGCGATCGAATGTCATGTCCTATTTATAGAAGAGATAAGTGCATTGTTTGATAGTGTGTCAACAATGCAAAAACAAAGAAAATAGCAAAACTATTACAACCTTGTCCATTGAGAACCTAGACTGTAAATAACAAGCCATGCATGGCACAGTCCCCATTAGTTATCAAATTTAAGATATATAGTTTTATTTATAGTAATATAGCTGGAATATAACCATGTCAGAAATATGATTTTTTAACATTAAAATGATAGACATTTGTATCTGATCGTCAAACAAGTACTTATTGAGAGATATTGCTCTGGAACAGCATTCAAAATCAGCCATTTTGAATACATGTATATATATAACATGATGTATAACGAATATATAAAATTTGAATATATAATCAGTCAAAGCATTTAAGAGATATGGCTCTGGAAGCCCAATCATTAAAAAAAATGGCCGCCAGTCAGCCATTTTGAATCCAATCTGAAAAATAAAATGACGTGCATCAGGAACCCGTAATGTCTAATATATGTACCAAGTTTGAACAAAATCCATCCATAAATGCCAGAAATGCTTGATATTTGATGATTTTTTAGCACAAAAATGACCACCATTTAGCCATTTTGAATAGAGTCGTCAAACCAATATATCAGTCTATCAATGACATGATGTATAATGAATATTTAAAATTTGAACATAATCAGTGAAAGCAAGTCAGAGATGTGGCACGAGAACCACATTCATTAAAACAAAATG